TGTGGCGTAAGGCCTGGAGAGCTTTCCTGAATTATTTTAATCTTTAATAGTGATTTTTAAATAAAATATTTAAGTAATAGTTTTCCTTCTACGTTCTTCAACTTTCAGTTTCTCCGTTGAAATCTGAAGAGTACATTTAAGTGCAGTATGGCCAAAAAAGCTCTCCTGAAGACAGTTTTGGTGCCAGGGAATAAGTCCACAGCAGGAAGCAGTTGTTTATAAAAATGATTTTTGCCAGTGATGGCTATCATCACAAGTTGCAACTGCTCTTAACCAATCAGGAGCACAGACTTCTTGAAGCCATTTTTTTAAATGGGATAAATGGTGTTTCTTAGTCAGTGGGTGCTTTCATTGGCATTATATTCTGCTTGTATTTCTGAATCATTCAGATTTCAGGAAAGCAATTAATCTAAAAGCCATTGCTGGCTCAGCAGGTAAAAATATGTATATTGACTCTAGTTCCATTATGAGAAAATGAGAAAACTTCTCCCTGCCAACTGGCTTTTGAATACATCATACCTTTTGATGTGTTTCTGTCAACAGTTGAATAGTATCTAATTCACATGAGATTATTTAAATTGTCCATTTCTTTGTCTTACCCATTTTTCAGGTGACTTTCAGAAAGCAATTCTTGTTTCATGTTAACTGAAAGCTTATTTCTAATTATGCACTATTTATTTAGTGTTCATGGATTTCCCCCTCACCTTGATTACCAAATAAACTTTCCTAATCCTAATTCAAGGCAGTCAACATCCTCAAACAAACTAAAAGAACCTCCAGAGTTGATTGCAAATTTGCATATATTTTCATAAATGCTGGTGCAAACTAATGGAAGTATGTCTCTTATAATTATATCTTCAGAGAATGTATAATGATTTGAATTTAGATACTTTAAATTAGGAGAGAAGCAGAGAAAACATGATTACTTTAAATATTTTGGGGTCCAGGTCTGTTTCTTAGCACATTCCACCACACACCGTTCTCTGGTTTCATATGAAATCTGTCCACACGGTGGCACTTCCCAGTTGATGCTGGGTTGCCAGGTCTGGAACGTTTAGTTGTAGTTAAAGTGATGTTGTTTTACTAAAACCATTGTAATTTCATATTTTCTATTTTTTAAAGCATTTAGCTATGGAATAAATTGTGTTATCATCAGCATAGAAATTAACAATACATAGCTCCTTGCTTATGGCTCACAACTATTGTAAATACTGTAAAAAAAAAAAACAAACCCCAACTCTTTCTATACCACAAAGATCTGTTTTATTTTGGATGACAGTACTGAATATATAAAACGTTTAACCAATACCAGTAACAATTTTTATTAAGGCCTGTTCTCCTGCCTTCTGATCATGCGTGTGGCTCTCCTCTGGACTCTCTCAAGTTTTTCCACAGCCTTTTAAAATTGTGGAGCCCAGAACTGGATGTAGTACTCCAGCTGTGGCCTCACCAAGGCCGAGTACAGCAGGAGGATGACATGCTGAGATTTGCCTGAGAAGCATCTATGGATGCAAGCCAGAATTTTGTTTGCTTTACCAGCTGTGACATTGCATTGGTGGCTCATGTTCATCTTGTGGTCAATCATAACCCCCAAGTCCTACCACTTGCCTGTGGTATGCTGGGGTGCCTGACACTGGGCAGAAGGAAGAGTGATTATTTACCTTGTGGCACAGGGAGTGAGCCCAGCAGCACTCTTGGGAGGATCTCTGCTGTGATACCCCAGTTGAGAATCACTGGTTTAGTATTTGGAAAATGCAAAATCTGAACAGCAAGACATTATTTAAAATTACCAAGTGCACCTTTCAAAGAGCAATAGTGTTATCTTATAATGGTGCATTCTATTCTGCATCATTTTTACGTTACAGCCTGGTGATGTCAATTGACTGTCGAGAAAAAAATTGTATAATGAATCTGTGAATAAATATATCTATCATTTACATATTAGCAGAAGGTCCTTTAGCCTAGGAGGAGCCATGATGCTGGTATAATATCTTAATTTTTTTACTGTATTATATTCTATCTAATTGTATTTTCTTCTCTGAATTCTGTAGCATGCATATGTTTTGGACTTTGGAACCAATGCACTAATATTAAAGTGGTAATTGAAATTACCTCTAAATTGTCATGTCAATAAATGACTCCCATGTGTCTACTGAATGCCAAGACAAGTCTGAAGTTTTTATTTAGCATTTCAGTAAGATCTAGTTATTGCAAAGTTCACTTGGATGCAGAATTGTAATCCTTTTGCCATTTTTCAAAGGTAAAAATACATCTGAATGTATATTGGTGATGTTTGAACTAGATGATTTAGATGGAACTTAACTTTTTTTAAGGCATAGTCTGTGTTTAATGGCATATCTAAGACCAGGGAGTTGGGGAGCTGCCAGACTTAATATACTGAATTTATAACTCTGCATCATCCTCTAATGCTCACACATCTACAGTATTCTCCTCATAATAATTTAACTTTTAGTAACATTCTGATTTTCTAAATCTTTTATACATAATCGTAGTTTAAGCATTCACCATCCATCAGTCATTTTGAGATGGACAGCATCAATTTATTGGTCCACCAATCAGAAATTCAGAAACAGTTCTTAAAAAGTCAGTTAAATGTTAAATCATTAAACTAAGTGTTTCAGCTTTGTGGTTGACCTAATTTAAACTGTTCTTCAAAAGCAAATTAATTGTACAGAGCAGCTACTGTTGTTTTTCTGGCTTGTTTGGGTTTTTTTGAACTACCAATGGATTTTCAAAACAGGACAGTATTGTCTACCAGTCCAGTGAAGCTTGCTTAATAAAAAGTTTAGTGTGAATGATCCTTTAAACTGTGTTCCAGTATGATCCAGTTTAAAACTGGATTTGGATTACTTTAACATGCTGGAAACAGTATGTTAAAATTCAAGTGTCACGAGTATAGGTGCATTTGCTTCTTATGCAAAGAGACTGCATAAGCAGTGATTGTCTACCTTTTTAGATTCCAAACACCCCACCTTTGACTCAAGGCACTTCTCCATAACTTCTGTGAATTGAACGGCACCTGGTTTTAAAAAAATAATTTATGTTTTGCAGTTCTTACCCACTTGTAGAGGGGCTGGACAATGGACATGGGACAGCAGCTAGGCAGGGTGGAGCTTGAAGATGCGCTTATCCCCTCGCTCTTCTCCTCGCACCTTGCAGCACTCTTCAGAAGATTTAATGGTGTCCCTGGGTACCCCCCACAACCTGGTTGAGGATCACTGGCATAGAGACTGCTGTCCCTCAACCCCAAAAGCTTTATAAAAATTCATGCTGTAAGCCTTTAGCCATCCAGTTGTGGTACTGCTGGAAATAAGACCCAGATGTCCTGCCTCCTATGCTAGGGTGAAAGTTTCTTCCCCCCTCCCTGCCTTTTTTTGTTTTGATGCTTTTCTCTCGTTAAGGGGAGAACTTTCTAGGTAAGAAATTATTTGTATACTCTCAGTGGTGTTCTAACTTTGACTTAATGAGGTTAAGTACTTTGTCTTTTGTTCTTATGAGATTTTCGTGATTATTACTGGCCTTGTTTCTGAGAACTCCAACCTGAACAGTCAGCATGTGTGTAGTTACAACATTGTTTATTTTAATGAAGAAGTTACATGATTTGTGTTAAAATTTACAAATATTTCTAGGGAAAAATTAATTCTTCAGTGCCGTACTTCCCGTGGAAGGTCTAGTGCAGGGAACTACAATGTTTTTAGGCAGTGCCAAAAACACGTGCAAACTCGACTTGTAAGATGTTGGCATGCCGGGGGCAGGGGAGCCCCTAGGAGCCCAATCCTTGTTGTGGCAGTGCAGCCCCAGCGCTTTCCCCACCGTCTGCTACAAGGCGCATGTGCACCCACTGCCAGCCACGAGCTGGGCTAGGGCTCTGCAGACCCAGCGCAGCCATTTGCAGCCTCCTGGCTGCCACCACAGCCAGCCCGGGCTCTGGCCAGACCCCAGCCACCTGGCATGGATCCCAAGCTGCTTGCAGGAGCTGGCAGGGAAGCTGCAAGCAGCTGCATGGAGTCTACAGAGCCCTGGGCCAGCTTGTTGCCAGCAGCAGGTGCATGTGCGCCTTGAAGCAAAGGATAGGGAAGGGGCCAAGGCTGCACTGCCACAACAAGGATTAAGCCCCTCATGGTTCCTCCACGATCCACCCCAAGGTGCATGTGCTAAGCAAAATGCTTTAGCATGTGTGCTGGGGGTGGCCTACCCATGGTCTAGTGGTAGCCTTGGGCCTATGGTGTACAGGGTTTCTGTGCTTTTGACCCAGAATCAGTAAAGTCCTGTATGTACTTCCCTTTAAGTATCTCAGTAACTCCATTGGGGCCATGCAGCAGAACCCTCTGGCACAGCTTAGTGGAACTAATTACAGGTGAGGAAGGAACGAGATGTGGCCATGAACATGTTAAACTGCAAATGGCCCCTTACAAAGGCCTAAGTCTGATTTGCTTATGGCTCATGTTAAGAAATTCTACTATATCAGAGAGTTTTCATAAGGCATTTTATAAGTGGCAAGATCTAATTACATCAACATGTGGAGAAGAAAAAGAATGGTTTAAAATTTTTATTAAAATTCTCTCAGGAGGTCTGCTGAAAATGATTTCCAGCGTACTGCTGGGGTTCTCTCTCACATACAGATTTAGAAGTATATTACTGCTGCTGTCTGTTCTCAGGAAGAATGCAAGCTGTATCATTGCTAAAAAAGGTACAGAGTCTTTTATCTATCTCTTGAAAAGGGAATGTGACACTACCAGTACCACGCTTCCATTATTTCTGTTTATTAACTGAAACATTGGTTATTAAGGGATGTTGCACTGCAGAGTCCCCAGTAGCTTTGCGTTCTCCCCAGGCAGCAAGAAGGGCCCAATTCTGTTGGGTTCTCCATCACCTCCCATTGTGGTCAGTGTCATTCAGGGGCTCTCGGCACACTACAGCACAGGCTGTACAAGAACACTATTGGCATTAAGCTCAACTACTTCATTTTCATTTTTCAGAGTCACCCAGCAATGCTGACGTTTGTAATACAAGCTGAAAGTAAGCAATTGGTCATCAGTCTGGAGAGAAACGAGTAAGTAAATCTGATTTGTATTCACTGCACACTGGAGGCACTAGCAGAGGGTTTAAAGTTTTTAAGATTGATAGTTTGTATAAAGCTTGGAACTGTGGGCAAATCTACTATGCAGCACTTCAAGGAACAGGCTCCTGACCATAAATATTTCATTCCAGTTTATATTCTGGGTATGTTAATCCTGCTTACCATTGTGTCACAATTTAGCCTGTGTGTGACTCTGAAGAGAAAAATAGGCCTTCTCAGTGTTTTCCTTTTTTCTCATCCTTGTTGTTTTTCTGCAGTAACCCCACTATTTACACTGTAAAGGAAAACCCCACAGACCCTGAAGCATCTTTCTGGAGGGCTTGGCCCTTCCTGATACTCCTCCCCATGGACATTGGCTGACTGCCTATGCATACATCCCACCCCTGATATGTAGGGTAAGAGACAAACGGCCCATTTTACCCCCTGCTGGAAATCTCAGTGGGAGTTTCACAAGTTTGTTGGATGGAGCAAGAGATGTTGCATAAAGCAGCTGGCCCCTGGCTTGGCCCCACCCTTCCTGATGACATGATCCACACAAACTGCAAAGCCCTGTTTGCTTTTCAATACAGCAGAGCTTTATAGGGCTGGTGAGAAGTTCCTGTCCAACTTCACTCTCTTCAACTCATACTCGCCATATTGGACTGCTTTTATCCAAGTCTCTGCATTTCCCAGTAGCTGTAAGATTATCCCTGGGCTAAACATAATAAAATTGTATGGTTCTCTTTGGCATCACTGTACCAGTCCATTATTATTGGATTGAAGTCAGGGCTCCTGGCCCCAAAGCATTATATATGTATATAGAAGCAAAGGGATCCTGTCTTGAATAGTTTACAGCAATTATGCAAGACAGACAGAGGATGAGGAACAAAAACATCATAGAGAAGTTATGTACCATACCCAAAGTCAGAGCAAAGGTCTGTGGCAAAACCAGTAATTAAAAACAGATTATCAAGTTTTAACTATGAGACCACCTTTCACGTTGAGGGATAACATCACATGCCAACAGTAAGTAATCAAAGTTAACAGAAAATATCTTAAAGCGTTTGGTACAAAATTCTATATACTTGTGTTAAAGTCGATATCAAGGGACACATGCATCCTATGGTACCCTCTTCCCTATAATAGTAATTTGAGGGGAAACAGCTTTTGTAGGTTTTGTTGCTTTTAAAATCTAACAATAATTGCTTTCTCGATCCTTGGAGATACTAAAAACACTAAGAAAGAGAAGAGTTTATATGTGAAAGCAGAAGCCTACAATAGGAAATGTATGTGCTGCCCTTAAGCTCATGCTAAGTGATCCAAAGTGGAATTCACTTGAGTAACTCTTTACTGCTTTGCATTAAAATTGGGAATAATGCTTTTTATTACCAGGCAACTGGATGACCCTGACACCACCATCTGTGACACAGAGTCCACTTCACTTTGATAGTCCATGTTATGTCCAAATCATAATGCTTGTTGATTTGCAGTGGTTCTTAGTAGTTCATTTCCTATCTTTGAAACAAACTGCAGATTGCACGTTCTGGGGTTATTCAGTTCCATTGAATTGCAGCAAAAGGAGAATTAATTTTCTGAGTAAATGTGGGTTTAGTTTTTTATTCTTTTAGTATTTGACAAAGGGTGTGCCTTGTTTCTGGAATGTCAAGTATGCTGCAATTGAAGAAACTATTTTCATTCCCTGTTAAAGATTAAAAGAACATAAAACCACTAATATTGCAGATGGTGGACATATTAAATTCTGTTCTACCTGCAATAAACCATTAGATTTAGGTAACTTCAGGATTGCGATTTCCATCTTCTGTATGAGATAGACATAAGACAGGACAGCATATTAATCAGTGGGACAAATTGCTTGACTAGCACAGATGTTGATATGATGGGTCAGTCTTTTCTTTAAAGCATTCATTCATTTACTACTTGTTTCTCTGATTTATGTGCTTTTACTGTGAACTTTTCAGAGCCAAAATTTTATATTCTAGTATGTGTTTGTACAGCACGCAGCACAGTGGGTCTCTGACCCATTAATATATAACTGAACCAGTTAATATACATTTAACGTTGCTTGCCTCTGGAGCTTGTAAAATAGGGTGCTGTTGAGAGATCCCAACCACATAAATAGCTAGTCATAGATACTGTATATCTCTTTGCCCTTGGGTGGATAATTGGTTTAATTTCAACAGGGAATTTACAATTTATGTTTTGCATTTCATTAAAAAATGTAAGTCCATATTCAGGAAATCAAGCTTGAAAATCAAGGATATAATGGCATATGTTCATTCAGTTACATCATTCATTAGGTTGAGCAATTTTGCCAAAGACAAGTGTCATATAAATTGCTTTGCATTTGTACTGCATCAATATCTTTATCTATTTGTTGTTACTCTGTATGTGCATGGTTTTTTGCAAGTAGATAAGAAGAAATAATCCATGCTCTACAGAGCAGAGCAGTAGCTTGGCTCTTTGCCCACAGAAATCAATAGTTGCATTTCCATGGGTTGGAACTGTGCAGTAGTGGGTACTATGCTGCGCTGTGTTATGTAAACATAAGATGATGGGATATGAGTAGCAAGAGAAGATGTGACACACTTCGAAAGTTTGGAATATTTAACGTGGGCATGGTATTGCTGCTTGATTCCTAGAGTTCTGAGAGGTCTTGGGGTCAGGTTTTTGAGGTCATAAAGAAAAGTCTTCCAAGAATGGCAATAGGATAGACATAATGTTTTCTAAGGCCAGAATTACACTTTTGGAAGATAATTTCTCCTGGAGCTTTCCTGTAACAAAAAGACCATTCCATATCTCTTCACAGACCTGCCTAAGCATTCTGTCATAAGCCACCATTGTAGCTGCTTTTGCAAATCTACAAAAGCACAATGGATCTGTTGTACTTAATCTGTTGTACTTAATCCTACCCCCACAAGTCAGTCCATCTTGCTGACAGCCCAGTAGCTGCATTACGGCTGATCCTTTATTGCCCTAGAATCTTCCTGAAAGGCTACTCCAACCTGTATAGCTGAACCACAGTAAGTTAACATGCAACTGGTTATCCTTCATTTATTATAATGAATTGTATGGTTTTCTAGGGTATAGTGCCTCTAAGTTCTCTCATCATCTCCAGTAGTGAAGAGTTACCTGTTTGGAGAGATGTCTGCAGGGTCACAAAAAGCAGGGAGCAGTGCAGTAGCACAAGACTTTCATGGCCCGCTGTCCTTGGGTTAGGATTTGATGGATCCCAGTAACCACTGCCTATGAGCATACTCAGGGTATGATATAGCTGAGGTTGGAAGCTGGAAGATATCAATTCAGTTTCCCTTTGCCACAGAGTCTCTCTCCTTCTGTCTGTGTCCCACATTGTTCATCCATTTGTAAAGTGGAGATAATACTCGCTTCACTTAGGTGCTGAAATTTAATTAATGAAGAAAGGCATTTGAAATCCTTGGATGAAAAGCACTAAAGAGGCACAGAATAAAAAGTACCAGTAGTAATCTCTTGGAGAGTACATTTTAACATATGAAAGACAAAGTGGCTCTTACCAAGATCTCACTGTGGACTGTTGAAATACACATTAAATGGGCATGCTTTAGATAAAAGCAAAATAGCAAGTACAAACATCTTTTCAACAACAAAAATGAAGTCCTGACACACATGCTCTTTTACTTTACTGGCTATTGTTTCATGTAAAACATGCTATTCTTTGAGGAAATGGGGAGAGGGGGGAAACCCTAAACTACATAATTCCTGCATTGGGTCATGCAAAGACTGAATATAGTTTTCCATTCTTAGCAGAAACAGCTGCTTTGAGTAGGCTTAACATTAAAACCCATTTAGTAAAAACCATAGAGATTTTCCAAAGCTAGAATTGAATTTCAAGGCATGATTCAGATGCATTAGCCAAACCAACTGAGGATTGATGTGTTAAACCATCTGTTATCTGTGGAAATATTTAATGTCACATTGGTGTTTGCTGATTTTTAAAAACAGAAGAAGTGTTTGCATTTTGTTTTTGTGACAGCACTTATAATTGGACTTGGTAAGTATTCATAGCTTAACATTTCAGATGTTCTTGATTGTCTCCAACTGTTATTTACTTTACGTTGCCCCACCTACATGCTTATGAAATATTTTTAAAGATTTATTTCAAGACTGGTTGCTTAAAATTATATTTACAATGATTAAGAATATATAATGGCAAAAACAGAATCATTTGCAGTAAATTCCATCTCAATCTTAGAAGACTAACTAGGGAATATATGTTGCAGGCAGATATCTTAAATGTAATTTAGTGCATACTAAAATTTTTAGAAAATGATTGTAGTCTTGAGTGCCTTGGAGCAATGGAGCAATAACTTAAAATGTTTTAGAAACACTTGTCATATGGGGAGATTTTTTTAAATCATCAAATCATCCACCAGTTACAAAATGTTACGGTTACACAATTTCACTCAAAGCAGCCTTTGCTGTATTCTAGTTTGTTACATGTAGAATTAATACCAATAACATTGGTAAATGCAGTTATACCAGTGCCATTGCATTGTGCAATCTACAGTAATTTATGTACCTGTAAATCCCATTGAAGTTAGTTGTAGTAATGCATGTGGGTAAAAGGTAGAGTAGGCTTAATATTGCAAATGAAACTAAGAGATATTAACATGAACTCCTGCGTTTGTCAGTAGCCTGGTAATGAGCCTCTAGTAACCTTTTTCATACAATTGGAAGCATATTGTACATTCATGCAAATATAGGTCCCATATGGTAAGCACATGCTTAATTATCAGCATGTAAATTACTAGATGAAATCAGGTGAGTTACTTGCCTGCTTCAAAGTTAATCATGTGCTTAAGAGCTTTGGCCCACAGAAGCAATTCCTTTGAACAGATTATAGTGTGTGTGGGGGGGGGGGTGTTGCTTTGAATCATTTATATGTGGAAGTGTTTTTTGGGTATAAATGGAGCATTAAAATAGCGTGGTAATATAAGTTAGGTTTGAATGGGGAAGAAGGATGTCTTTGTGCTAAGGGTGCTGGCTTGGACCTTCAGAAATCTGGGATCAAATTTGAAGGTCAGCTACAGACATCCTACGTGACATGGATAATTCACTTCCGGGAATAATAATACTCCCTGACCACAGGGGTGTAACACTAAACATATGAATAGTATAGATAACATAGTGATGAAAGCATATCTAAATAGACATGAATAGTTCAAGTATAGTAGATTGTTCTGTCCATTTTCCTTCAAGTTTGTGTTGTGCTGGGTCTTATTTATAACTCACCAGTTTCATTGACATTTTTTAAAGTTGAATACTTGGAGCTCCAGGGAAAAGATGCTGCAACTCTTGTATTCATATTTTTTCCTGTAAGCTTCCGGGCATTGGGTAGAGTATAGCAGTTGGAATTCTGTTTGCCTCCGTGTATCTAAACACACCTAAGTGGCACTTGCTCACAGGTTGCAATTCTATTATCCCTACATTGTTGATGTGGATATACGCATGTAGATGGAGCATGGCCTGAACTGGCTG